ACTGTCTGCCGGGCGGACTTCTCGAGGAACAAGTGCTTGAGCGGCCTCGCGGCGGCGACGGCGGTGAAGTCGGTTGAGGAAGCCCGGAGGCGGGGTGACGTAGGACAGGGACTGAAGTCGAGGCGGTGACCGCTGACGACGAGCTGGCCCAAGAATGCGGCGGAGTGTCGCGGGGCTCGGTCTTGGGAGGCCTTTCCAACCGCGGCCCCAGGGAGGACTGGGGGATCGCTTGAGGGGTCGCTGTAGGCTGTGCGACTGCCTCAGTTCCTCAAGGGAGATGGGGATCTCCTCGTGCTTGACCTGTACTGACGACAGGTTGGGGGATGCGGGTGCCTGGCGAGGCAGGTCGGGATGGGACGGGAGTGACGTGGCGGGATGTAGATCTCAAGGTGCCAGCGTACCAGAGTGCAGGGCCGCTGGGGTGTTGAACTCGTCGGATTGGCACGAAGTGTCCTTCGTCAACAGTGATGGACCGTGGAGTGCGATTAGGGCACGGTTGCCGATCACAGATGAAGAAAGGAGCTCTGTCTCCATTGCTGTTCGGGTCGTCACGAGAGACGTCGACCTGCTCCTGGGTGTCGAAGGCGTGCTCAAGTCAAGAGCAGTCGAAGAATTCGTCAGCCACGTTGATGGGGGGAGGAAGGGGAGGTGCGCGTGCTACGAAAGGCCGTGCTAGCTAGCTTACACCTACGGCGCCTGAGGTAACACTAGGGTTCGCAGTTCACGTGGGGCCCAGTACTGCTTTTGGCTAGTATGCAGCAGGAACCTAGTCCACGCGTCCGTGAGGACAAGTACCGCCCACTGAAGTGCAGGTACTGAAGAGTTCGTCCCCTAAGTGGTGGCGATGTATAGTACGCTATCTAGGTATCGTAGGGTACAGTAAGGGTGCACACCACCCAACCTATAGGAAGTGAATGTGAGTAGTGGGAGTCCCGAGGGAACACTGGCAGCTATGGGAGTTTCGACCTAATGTCGTGACTTGAGGTCGAGCGACAGGAGAAAACCTAAAAGCTGGGGGCGTTCGACTGGTTCTTACCGAAGCGATGGTAAGCTAGGCTCGAACCTAAGGCTAGGGACAAGAATATATTAGTTAGTAAGGAAAGGTAAGTAAGTACAAGAGAGCTTACTGACCTAGGGACAAGAGGTCAGAACTGAGGTCCCTAGGGCAGCAGAGGCCGGTTTATATACATGGGAAGATTTAGGACAGGCTGTACGCGTTGGTCCGTGCGCAGCTGGTCCGTGCACAGCATGCCGACGCGGCCCCGGGAGCCGGTGAGTCAAAGCGGCTGCGTCAGCGGGGCCCAAGCTGTGCCGTGCACTGCCGTCCTATCTAATCTGATTGTACAGTAGATAATGATGTGTCCGTATCGGGCAAGTAGTACAGAGGTCGCGGGTTTGAGCCCGCGAAAAGGAAAAAATTAAAAAACGGCTAGGCGCCGTATCAAGTCGTGACACCTCCTCAGCGAACAGCTGGGAGTACGTATGCCCGGCTGCAACGAATAGCCGAGGGGTGCCAGGAAGCATAACACCTTGCTCCCAGGCTTCGATCAAGTCGGCCTCATCCCACTCTACTTCCATCGGATCTTCTTCGGTTTCGAGGTCCGGGAGTACCTTACTCCGGCAGGCACCTATGACTGACCGTTTGGACTTTGGCGAACGCCTGCGCGCTGTGGGCCTGACCCCCGTATCACGCGCAGTCGCAGCTTGCTCCATTCGGCCAGTCCTTCTGGCGCTGCACGCTTCAGGGCATCGTGATAATTTGAGGGAGCCTTTCTCCCAATCGATGTCAGGGTTGTGCTCGCGTAGCCAATCCAACCCGACGATCACATCTTCCGGACCGATGTCCGTGACTGTAAACACCGTCTTCTTGACATGTTCTCCTATTTGCATTTGTAGCACTGCTACTTCCGAGATGCTTCCATCTTTATTGAGGGTGCCGTCGATATTGTATAGCGGAATTGGTTCCTTCAACTTCCGCGTATGCACCTTATTCTCTACTACGAATCGTTTGTTGATAAACTTCGTGGTGGCTCCGCTGTCCACCATAGCAATTATGTCCTTGTGCCGTCTTTTTCCTTGAAGTCGAACTGGGATGTGAAAGTGCTGGGACCCCTGGTCCAACTCATACACCATTGCAGTCGACAATACATCATACTTGTTACAGGATACTTGCGGCCCGATGCGTGCAGCACGAAGCGCGGACCGGATCAAAAACCCTCTTCCTTCATCGCCTGATAATGCTCGAGCTCCTCGCGCATTGACTTCACCTGTGCCATTAAGTCCGCCAGCTCTGATTGCTCGGATTTCGCTGAAGCGGCACTTATACTTGCTGAGGGTGATGTCGTGACGGGGGCGCTTGTCGCCGCCTGGGTAGAGCCCGAGGCAACCGTAGCCCGCGCATCGGCGCGTTTTGTGTAAGGCTTGTCCTTACAATTGGGGCACTCGAAACATTGGTACCCTTGCTTCCCACAGCCGAAGCATGTGCCGGGGAAGTTGCCTTTTCCGATGGCCGCATTGATGCTGGCCGAAGCTACGTGTGACTGGGGTGCACCACCACGTGCCCCTCCGCGTCCTCGACCTCGGGCCGAGAAGAAGTTATTTAGCTCGGGCCGACGGGCCCGGCTAATGTCGAGGATCTGCTCGACCTCAGTGGCACGCTTGTCAGCGTCTTGCCACGTGGTGAAAGTCTCGAGCTTGATCTTTTGGTAGACGCGGGAGGGGATGCCGCTCAAGTACTTGTCGCGTAGCTCCAGGTCGCCGTACCCGGAGCGGTCCGCCGGACCTTTGAACAGCACGGAGAACTCCGCAGCAGTGCGTTTTTCGCGGACCGACTTGTCCGCGCAGAGTTTGGCCAGTTCTACCTGGGCCGCTGCCTCGTCATCGAGGTTGCCGAAGCGGGCTCTGAAAGCCGTGGCAAAGGCTGCCTCATTTGCGAAAGGGGTCGTTACTCCCTGGACACCGAGTTGCACTGATACAAGCTGGGCAAAGTATGGAGTGGCCCAGGTGCGGGCGTCACCGTCGAGCAGGCTTAGCGCAACCTGCACCTTAAGTTCAATGGTGGTTAACGACGTGTTAACCATCCAATAGATGCGAAGTTGCGACAGAAACCTGTCGCATTCGACGACGGTTTTGCCATCGTATCGGAGGGGGGGGAGGAAGGGGAGGTGCGCGTGCTATGAAAGGCCGTGCTATACTAGCTTACACCTATGGCGCCCAAGATGACACCGAGATTTGCAGTTCACGTAGGGCCCAATACTGCTTTTGACTATTATGCAGCAGGAACCAAGGCTACGCGTCCGTGAGGACAAGTACCGCTCACTGAAGCGCAGGTACTGAAGAGTTCGTTTCTCGAGTGTTGGCGATGTATCGTATGCTATCTATGTATCGTAGGGTAT